TGTTAAGAACAAAAGCACACACACGAATATAAAGCAAGAAAGCGATAAAGAACACGAGATTTAACGTGGTTCGGTCTAATCTGACCTACATCCACAGGGGCAACTAGGGTTTGTATTATTGAGTGATGATGATTACAAGTACAGGAGATCGTATATATAGACAACTAATTAGGGTTTAACCCTTGCTGGACAAGTTATAGCAAACTGGGCTTAAAACCATTTGGGCCGGCCGAAACCCTAATCTGGTCTCCTAACTCTCAGTTGTCTACAAGTGGGCCACTTTGGGCCGATGACTGCACATCACCAACAGTCCCCACATTCTCCAATGAATTTAGGCTAGCGACCGTTTGGCCTATCAAGGCTACACGTTATGCTTTTGTATTTTGTAGGTCCCACATTTTCCAAATCATGATAATCGAAGAGCAAAGAGTTAGAGACCTGCCAAATGGACTATGCCATGTTCTAGATTATTATTACTCCGTAATATAATAGGATCCATCTCTAGAATCTTAACAACAAAATAACACGAGAACTCGAGAAGGACTTGTTTAAGGCTTGGTAAGTGGTAACTGCCTTACACCCACATGCATAAATTTGAATTGTACTTGTTCGGCAACTTTGAAATGGCTCTTATTTGGATATCCTTTGAGATTCATTCCGTATCAGATTTTGACCTCAAATGCAACCATTTCTATATATCAGAAAAGATGTGTGTGTGTGTGTGTGTGAGAGAGAGAGAGAGAGTACCCATTAGACATGAACAAAAAGTCCAAGATAAGTAATTTGAAAGTTTTAACTTGTCTTCAATCATTGTGTACCTGGGACAAAGTGTGAAGAGCATCATGAATGATGTGTTATAAATCAATGATATTTGCATTGAACCTACCAAATAGGATAGTTTGTGAAAGCATGAATTTCATAACCATTTGCCTTTAACACACTAAGTAATTCCTCGACACCTTCGATGTAAGAATATCCTCTTCGCATGCAGTTTTTGAGGCCTATGAAAAGAAATTGTGTTAATTTGATTGTGTCTGTGACGGGTACCTTCGGTTTTCCTTTTAGCTGATTGAAAGATAAAGCACAACAAAAAGTTAAAATATACCTTCGAGATCAAAAGATCTCTCATCTTTAAAGAATTTCCTTTCCAACTCAACCTGAAAAATAAATATCCCCCATAGAACATTATGACTTCAAGTCTTCAATACCCCAAATGCAATAAGAGTTTTCAGATATCATATGACCTATCTTTAAAATAAGATCACAAAAAGTTATCAACACTGACAAAAAAACAGTGTAGATTGAAATGAAGAATTTGGCAGTTTAGGACAAAAAGTATGCTTAAATCAGAGAAACCTATAACAACAACAACAGAACCATTTAGTCCCAAATTATATAGGTATGCTAATGTTAGCAGGATATTATATTATTATGAAAGAAGAAATATGCACACATTCCTTGGTAGATAGAGTTTGAACTTAATCAAGAATTTCAAATACCTCATTTATTTCCCCCTTCTCAAACTCAATCCATGCAGTTGAATGCTTGCTTTCTAGCAATTCCTTCATCTCCATTCTGCATTAGAATTGTCAGATTTTTATATTCCCTCCGTCTCAAAAAAACATTTCTCATAAACACCTCCATCTCAATCTCATATAAACAAATTTCAACCATACGCTTTTCACTTTTCAACGTTTTTCTTAAACACCGTGAAAGTCAAACTCGGTAATGTTTTTTGAGATGAAAGGAGCATTATATACTCCGATCCCCCCATTCCATATTAACTTCCCATTATCACTATATGGTACATTGAAAATTGAATGAATGTAGACATAATGTATGTGTACATTCATTCATTTTTTCAAGTATCATAAAAGTCATAATGAATAGCTAATATAGAATGGAGGGAGTATACGCCTATGTGAGAGCAGTAAAATGTGGGTGCATCACTAACTTCCAGGTCTGTGCAGTTCAGTTAAGTTGAGTAAATTTCAGTCGGAAAGAACATTCTCTAATTTCAGAATAAGATTGAGCGAGGGAGGGAGAAGAGTGAATACCGGAAGAAGGCGGGGACATCGTGATAAAATGGATCGCGAACAATTGTGTCCATGACGTCAAAAAGGAGTATCGGAAGCTTCCGATGGGGTTGAGCCGCCATGGCTGAGGAAGAGGTACTGGTACGGCTGTTCCCGGCGACAGCGGGAGGCGCTCCTCCCACAGATTTTGTGATCAACGGCGGCAATCGGTGGTAGCCATAGAACCGCAGAGATGGAATTGGGGTTATTCGGGAAGTGGGTGGTATGAGCATTGACATCTTACTTTGGTTTGAAAATAGAAAGAAATTAACAAATTGAGATCTTTTTTAGATAGGACTTATGGCTTTAGATAGGAACCTTTGGAGAATTAGGATTAGAGTAGCTGGTTAAGAACTCGGTGCTATAGAGGTTTTTTGTAGTGTGTTGTGTTTGATTGGAATCTTCTATTAATACTTGTAGAACTTTCTTTTCATTGTACTTGGTGTTTTATCCATGCTATACTGTATACCCTATCATATTTTTTGTGCAGGTTGAGCCGGGGGTCTCTTGGAAACAGCCTTCCTGCTTCCAAGTAGGGGCAAGGTCTGCGTACACACACCCTCCCCAGACCCTACTGTAGTGGGATCCAACTGGGTTGTTGTTGTTGTTGTTGTTAGATCTTTTTTAGTTTTATACTTTCTCCCTCTAAAAAAATCATGTTTAACTTTCACATAATTTTCAAAAAAAGTTAAAAAGTACGTACAAAATTACTCACCGGGAACACAAATTTTGTCGAAATAATTCTCATGTCCTTATATTTTTTATAAAACAATAGAAACTCTTACAAATTACTTCATCCATAATCATTAATAATTACTCTCTCCGTCTCCAATTTGATTACAAATTGCGGGTTACGAAGTGAAATTTTTTTACTTTTGGAAATTATTTTATTTACAAATTGGTATATCAATAAGATGTAAAAATTACATATTACTTCCTCTATCCACCATAGATCTTCCCAATAGCCCTTTTTCTTTGTCCACAATAGATCTTCTCATTTCATTTTTTAACAAGTAAAATACCACAACTACCCCGCTTACTTTATTTATTACACCTCACCCACCTCATTTAATACATTCATCCCATTTTTCATTAAGGGTATTATGGTAAGAAGAATATTTTATTTTATCAAATACTTAATGAAATCGCGTAAACAAACAAAAGTTATCGAGAGGAGAGAAAAAAAAATTGTAATCTATTTAGGGACGGAGGGAGTATGTTTTTCTTACTTTGTCCTTAAATTTTTATGGTAATAACTCTTAAGTCTCTCACTTTTTGGTTTCTTTGTTTTTCTTTTTTTATTGTTTTTTTAGAATCGTTTTTAAAATTTTATTCTAGAAAATAGTATCAAAAATTTAAAATTCTTTAAACAATATAAAAATAAATGAAATAGAGAAATCTCCTAAAAAAAAATAACCGAGTAAAATTTAAAAAAAAACTGAAAAATAAAGCAAACTGCTTTCCCTAAAAAGTCATCATTCTTTTTTTAATACTATGTATGTAGTATTAAAAATAAAAAAGAGATCTATTTTTCTTTTTTGAGAAGGTCCTTATTTCATTAATTTCTTATATCATACACAAATTTAAAATTTTAAAACTATTTTCTAGAAGAAATTTTAAAAAGGCCTTTACGAAAAAAACAGAGTGAAAAAAGAGAAACAAGAAAAGGAAACAAAGAAACTAAAAAATGAGGGACCTAAAAGATATTATTGTAAAACATCAAGGGCAAATTAGAAAAAACATGTTTATTAACGCCACTGGATGAAGTATTAGATGAAATATTTCCTCATAGTCATTACAACAAAATTTAAGAATTTTTCTGTTTTTTTTGAAAATATAAGGATCTAAAAATTATTTCAACAAAACATGTGTTAATTTTTGAAAAGTACAAATAAAAACTTTGTTATTAGAATTTGTTTAGATAAAAGATAAAATGATCAAGACTCCACATGTGTCTTTTAATAAAACAAAGTACGAAGTACCAATTATACTACTCCACATGTTATAATAGAGAGTATATTAATAGCAATGGAAAAAAAATAAAACAAGAATTTTTTTAGAACGAACATAAAATAAAAGAGTATTCCATCCGTATATACCTTGCTATATATGGAGTAAATAACAATGTTGCATTTTATATGATGAATGATTAAATTCTTGTCACCTTAACTCAATGTTTGTACTTTGTTCGAAAAATAATGTTTATTATGAACCAAGTCCTTACGTATATATCTTTCCGCACGACTCATGATAAAATTGCTCTGTAACGCCTACGGAGTGCGGAGTATATAACAATTTTAAGGCAAATTTTTCGACAAAATGTAAGTATGGCATAGGGACAAGTTGGGTTTGTGGTGCGGATTAAGAGGGTATGACTTGATTTAAATCAAAGGGAGCTTCTGAAGAACCAAGGTTTGCTCATTTTTAACTTCATATAATTTTTAAAAAGGTCAAAAAGTAAATAAAAAATATGCATGACTAGAGATTGTTTTGAAAATATAAAATACTCCGTAATTGTGAACCACTAATTTTTGTCTTTAAAAGAAAATACCCCATAGATAAAGTATAATTTTTTAAAGAACTAACAAATAATAAAAGAGTACTCCTTATATCCTTTGATATATACTCCCTAAATAGCAATGTTATAATTTATATGAGAAACAATGAAATTTCTATCATTTTAACTCACATCAATGTGAAAAAATGATCTTCATCGTGAACCATATCCTTACAATTATATTTAGTCACATCTCCTCAGAACTCCATATTAGGGGGTGAATAATGTGGGAGCTTTATATAACAAATTTACTGCGAAACTTTTGGCATAATGCTAGTAATTGGAGGCGTGGGGACAAGAAGGTTGGCCGAGTTTGTGGGGGTGGATTAGGACTTAGAAGGGGTCGGACATGATTCTGAATCTAACGGAGCATCATAAAACTCCTAAATAACTTGATTTCATATTATAACACCAAGTGTCACTGTCCAAAGAACCAAGATTTGGTCATTAAATCTTAGTCAAGTTTATAGAATTTTTTTAAATTTGATTTATGTTTTCAAAACTTGGACAGATAATCCAACTAACCTGTTTAGGATTTGGGATTTGCTAGGTGTATCTCAAGTGCACACCACCTTCTCACAGAGACACACAGGCACTCACTGTCTATGTTTCACCCATATAGTGAGTGTACTAACTGTCTATGTTTCACCCAGATAGTGAGTGTCTGTGTGCGTCTATGAGAAGGTGGTCTCGACTTGGAGTACACCACCTTAGGGTACACCAAGGTTTTTTCTTAGAATTTTCCCCAAGGGAAAAACACTTGTGTAGGATGGTATGGAGCAATTTAATGGCCAGTTTTGTGACACAACAAACAGTTCCTTTTTTGGCCATGCATGAACTTAGTGCAATTTCATCATTTTTTTTTCAATATATGTCACAACAAGAACTTACAATCAAATCCTATAAATAAAATTGATAAGAATTAACTGAATATACAATGTAAACAAGTGGACTACATCTAACATCTCTCATATATACACACATTAAATATTGGTCTGCAGAATGTAGTTTCTTGTCATGGCTGAACAGAAGAGCCCAATGACACAAACATAAAAACTAACAAAAGCACTAACACAAAACACCCAAACCGATATCGGTCCTTCATCGTCCATATCCTCAAACTTCATCCCATGTTTCTCTCCAATGTTTTTCCTTCCCATGCACCCATCCCTCGAGGGCTCCACGCAGAGATCGGGGTTCCCAGAAAATGCCCCTGAAAATCTCCAATACCCTTGATTCAGATGGACGATTCCGGAAAAAGAGTTGAAAGACATGTCCAAAACAGTCAAATTGCCAAGACCTGATATATTCTCGGGAACTTGTCCTGATAAAGAATTGTGGGACAAATCCAAGGCCTTTAAGCTCTGCATTGTCGTCCCTAGACTCCCTGGAATTCCACCATCAAGAAAATTATGCGACAAATTCAAATACTCCAAACCGCGCAAGCCAAACAGGCCCTCTGGGATTCCACCGTGCAGCAGATTATCTGACAGATCGATTCCAGTTATGGTCAAGAGATTGTATTTGAAGCTCAATCCGGTTCTCTCAGCGACAGTCACAGACACTTTTATGCTGAGCCCCCGCGATGAAATTAACAGGTTCGCAGGGACATATCTCACAATATCGTTGAAACTCAGAGTCGTGTTACAGTTTGCGTCAGGGATGAAACCGGAGAACTTGTTCCCAGAGAAGTCGAGCGTGTTGATCCCCTGAAAAGTGAATAACCAGCTGGGAAGAACGCCAGTGAACCGGTTCTGGGAAAGGGAGAGATACCTAAGATTAGACCATTTGGTTATTGCATCATTGAGAGGTCCAGAGAGGGAATTGGAACTGAAATCCACAACCTCCAGAGACTTGCACCCAGCTAAAGTCAATGGAACTTCTCCAGAAATCTGGTTGTGGCTTATATCAAGAATCTTCAAGCTGTCTAAGGCATCGAGTTCAGGCTGGATCTCACCTGACAGATTGTTGTTGCTCAGCATCAGAGCTAATAACTGGAAACACCCGACGATGTTCAAAGGAATCGACCCAGTTAGAAGATTGTGAGAGAGATCAATCACCTCTAGATAAGTCAGGTTCCCAATCCTTTCTGGGATTTCTCCAGTTAGAAGATTATGAGAAAGAACCAATGCTTGAAGACTCTTCAGCTCAGTGATTGACTCAGGAATCGTGCCCGAAAATCGGTTGTGGGACAAATCAAGAAGCAAAAGATCCGATTTTTCTGGAGATTCAACAATGGTATTCGGAAGATTCCCAGACAACTCATTGAAACTCAAATCCAACACGACCAACCGCTTCGAGAACACGAATCTGGGGGAAATCCCATATCTCAAACCATTGAATGACAAGTTCAGCTGGGTTAAACCTCGGAGGTCGGAAATGCAAGTTGGAACCCCTCCAACAATATAATTGTTAGCTAAATTGAGAACTGAGAGTGATTCTTTCAAAGAAGAGAAGCAAGGCAAAGGCCCCGAAAACCGGTTGGACTCGAGATTCAAAAACTTCAACTTTTGAAGAAAACCACCAACTCTACCCACCAAATCGTTAAACCCTAGATTAAGCTTTTCCAAATTCGACGAAAAATTTCCCACCCACAGTGGGATTTCTCCACTTAACAGGTTATGACTAAGGTCAAGATCAACCAAACTGTTCAAATTCTCGAGCAGGTCAGGAATTTTACCAGAAAACGCGTTGAAGCTGAGATCTAAAGTCCTGAGATTCAAAAACTGACCGAAGCAGGGGGGAATCGAGCCGTTGAAGGCGTTGTGAGATAACGATAGGGTTTCCAGAGATGTGAGATTGCACAGAGAGGGATGAACCGGACCTGACAGGTTGAACCGGGTGAGATTGATAGCAGTGACCCTCCCGTCGTCGACAGACCGGGTGACTCCGGTCCAGTTGAATCCGCCCGGTTCCCAGCTCGACAGGCTGAGGTATAGATCCTGGAGGTCTGATTTGAACTGAAGGAGCGATTTCATGTCCTCTTGAAGCTCAACAATATCGGAAAAGCTTGGAATTCCGGCTTTCGCGGGGTGGAAGAAGGGGAGCAGGATGAGGAGGAAGAGATTTAGAGGCATGTTTGGTTGGAATGAAAAAAGCTTGAAAATGGATGGAATCAAAAACCCATTAAAGAGAGAAGCTGGGATTCTGGAGGGGAGAACCAGTGGAATCGCCGCCACTCCCATTAAAGCACGCCCAACATTCTTTCTTGATTTGTGAATTTGTTCAGAGGTGCCTTTTTTTTCTTTTTCTTTTTTTACTTTAGCTTTTTCGTGGTGAATGTCGTTTATACCCTCGAGACTCTTTGGTGCCTTGATTCTATTCGCCCAAAAAACAAAAGAAAAATATGCTAGGGGTACATCTTGGTGTACCCCATATGTCTCTCACCATCTTCTTGTCCACATAAATTGGCAAAAAATTCAAAAATAAATACATAATTAAAAATCAAATAAAATTGGTGATGGAGAAAGGGATGGTGTACATTTAGAGTACACCAAAGATGTACCCCTAGCATTGCTCAAAACAAAATGATCGGACTCTGACCTCAAACAACAATATACCATAATAGATCAATATCTACAAAATCTTGAAAAAATGGTGTAAAATAAATGTAAAACATAGATAAAGGCTTTGTTTGGTAACAGCGTTTTCGGCTAGCCTTAGCCTTTTGCATAACATTTTAACGGTGCAGATTAATTCTGAAAACGCTAACGCTAAAGGCTGTCGTCGTATAGCTTTTTCAAAACGCTAACGCTAATGTCTGACACTGATGGCAAACAGGGCCAAAGTGTCAAAATAGAAGTTTATATTTTTATTCTCAAACTAAAAATTTAAATTATGATAATTTGACGTTGTATATGAATATTTCACAATACTTTTTAATAATGTATATAGTCATGATTGATATTGTAAATGCATTTAAATTCATATTTCGAGAATAAAAACATACTACCTCCGTCCCATTGTCTTTGTCCAGTTTTGACTTTTGGAACTGTTCATCTAAGCACTTTGACTCATCAAATTCTCTCAACGTGTAAGCCTAAAATCAGTCATGTGTGATCTTGTTTGATTCGTTTTAACATATAGATTATTAATATATAATTTTTATAATTTTTTAAAATACAAATTACAAGATAAAATGAATTAAAGAAGTACATTGGATGGTCTGCCAAAAGGTAAGTGGACAAAGACAGTGGGACGGAGTGAGTAAAACACTTATTTTCGTATATTTTACTACTCTTACAATTCTACTTTAGTATGTTTCCCAAAATCTTGCATATATTAGGAATGAATTAAGCCACTTATATATCAAAAGATATGCTCCAAATTATAGACCACTAGCGTGCACAAGGGGTGGACCACGGTACGGTTTCAGTACCACCACCCCTAGGTACCGTTACCGTCACCGATCTGGACGTTACCGGTTCCACTACTAGTACCGGCAGTTCCGGGACCATACTGGCCGGTTTCGGCCACCCTCCTATTGTTTAAAAAAATAAAAATGTAGTTGTTATACATCGCAAACCTAAAAAACTAATTACATTAACGACGATGTAAAGAATCGTAAAGAAACCCTCGAAAGAGTTTATATATCGCTCACCTAAAAACTAATTACATTAACATAAAAAAAAGTTTATAAGTTATTCATCGAAACTAGAGCATGTGGTTGCATTCATGTAATGTTTGAAATTAATGTCGTACCCTAACTCATGAGCTCGACGTCTTGCCAAGAGTCAATCTTGGTTGCAAACAAGTCTCCCAAGCAATTTAGTGCGAAGACAACTTCGGTAGTCGATTAGAATATTGTCGCTAGAACTGAATTCTCTTTCCACAGCTACAGTTGATACCGGGACAGATAAAACTTGTCTGACTAGCATTCCGAGATATGGGAACATGTGTTCGTTTGCTTCCACCATGCAAGGGCGTCAAAGTCCACGTCGTTTTCGTCATAATCGCATGGCACTCCTTGATACATATCAAGTTTGTTGTGCGACCTTACAGTTGTACCACCTGAACTCGTCGAAGCGTGACCATGCTTACCTTTTTTTTCCAAAAGCCCACCGACTATCCCTTTAAAACTTTTTTTAGCTTTAGGAGGTGTAGGAGGTGTTTCTTGTAGTGCATTACCGTATATTCCTTGAAATTCTTTAAATAAAGCCTCAAAACGATTAATAGAATTATCTCTTTCTTCTGTCTATTCTATTAAATGGTTTTCCAATTTTTGAAGTTTTTTTAGTTTCTTCCAGTTTTTTCCTGTTTCTTTCAGTTTTTTTCTAATTTCTTCCAACATTCAACTCTTTTTTTCCAGTCCTAAAGAACAAACTCTAAATGGTCATCCTACCATCATTTATTTCATTATTTTTAAATTCTAAAGAAACACTAATATGGCTATCCATGTTTCATGATAAATAACAGTATGGCTAATTAATGGATTCCTTAAAGAATAAGCATTGAACAACAACATTAAGTAAATAAGAGAAATTTACTTAAATAACACTAAAACACAATGACTTTCCCCAAATAACACCACATGTGTTTTTCTTCCCAATGTAACACTTTTAGTCATTATGCATTAGCCATTATTCAAGCAAATATTTGCCATCACAGGACATTATGGACATTATTAAGTGCTATTTAGGGAATAAAATAATTTAAGTGCTATTTAGGGAAATGAATTAAATTTTAATGGTATTTAGTGCAAATATTTCTTGTTTGTTTATAACTCATAGGCTAAAGTAATTACCCTTAAACTTTTTTCAGTCTCAAACAATCAAATTGAAAATTAAAGGAAATTAATTTTTCATCAAAATAGAGAATTTTTTAAAGTGCCTTCATACACCACTCACAACCCAATATAGTAGATTCTTAATTTATTCCAGAAATTGAATCCCAAATTCCCTCAAATTTGAATGTTCTAATTTCAAATTTAAGATTTGTAAGCTAAAAACTTTTAAAAAATAGCATACAATTCAATTTCAAACAACCAAATCAGAAAAGTTCTCAAAGAACCTAAAGGTAGTCAGGGGAACATAAGAAACGAAGAACAAAATCAGAGAAGCAAGGTACCTGGCCGGCGAAAGTATATACACGAAGCAGCGATACAAGGGCAACTATCTCATTATAAGATTTGGGAAATCCGAATCAGATTTTTTGTCAAAGAGAGAGAAGATAGGAAATTCGAATTTACAGTTCTCCTCCGGTTTTAATACACTTTTGAAGCACTGTAAATTCGAATTCAAGAAAAAGTACCTAATGAATGATTTTTTCCCTGTAAATTCCCATGAACTTTGGATGGTTCCCTCATCCATAAAATAGAAGCAATTATTTGAACTTTCCGATGCTTGTAAAATCAAACTCAATTGGAATTTCGATTTAGAAAATCTCAATAGAACGAGAAGGGGTGTGGGGAAGTAACTAGGGTTAAAGAAATTTGGGTAATCTCGAAGTAAATTCAAACCGGAGGAGAGGATGTGGGGAACATACCTCGTGGGAGAGATGCAGGGGCGCCGAGATGGAAGACGTCGCCGGCCGGTGCTTTGATTGCAGAAAAGAGTGGAACCGGCGGAAGAGAGATAAAGACGGGAGAGGCAGAGACGGAGCAGTGGGCGGTGGGGGGCTCCGTTAATTTTAGGTGAAATAGATCTAAAAAATGATGGATAAATCTGATCCATTGATCTAAAAGGTTATTAAATTCAAGGGCAGAGATTAAAATTGTCATCCCATGACATTTAATTTAAATGACAGTTGAACGGCGCTGATATTATATATATTAAAAAGTAAATACTCCGTATAGTTTTGTTTACTGTTGATCTGTCTATAGTTATAGTTAAAGTACTCCCTCCGTCCCAAAAAGTCTTTCCTGTTTTATTTTTTGCGCATTCCATAAAACACTTCTATCCCGTCTTGAATGCCAAAAAACTTTCAAAATAACTTCTACCCACAATAAAGAAGAAATTTTATAAATTTTAGATATTTTAGATGTCGTTAGAAGTATTTTATGGGATGCACAAAAAATAAAACAGGAAAAACTTTTTGGGACGGAGGGAGTATAACATAATTTTATTAAAATAATCAAATTAAAATTATGTTTTGGGAATAGATGGAGTAAAAAAAATAAATAAATAAAGCGGGAACTTAAAAATGAAACATATCAAGTCAATGATTGGCAAAGGGACAGCAATAAATGTTTGTCTCCTTTCCCCATCTTTGAATTCTCTGTTCACATATTGAAAACTGGAATTCATTTCCTTCTCATGGCCCAAACCCATCTTCATCTCCACGCCTCCTCCTTATTAATCCTCTCAATCCATGGCCGCACCTCTAATTAGCATCATCATCATCATCATATCCGCAATCTCCTTTCCCCTGACCCGATTCCATCTCCTCCTCATCTTCCTCCACTCCCTGTTATAGCAGATCTGGTTCGAAAATGGCGTCGGTGTTTCTGTACCACGTGATTGGGGATCTGACGGTGGGGAAGCCGGAGCTGGCGGAGTTCGCCGAGACTGAGACGGTGGAATCGGCGATCAAGGCTATCGGGGAGTCGACTGAGTGCGGAATTCCGGTTTGGAGGAAGAAGAGCGCCGCGGCGGCGGCGGAGAGGGCGGAGGTTCGGCAGCAGAGGTTTGTCGGGATCCTGAACTCGCTGGACATTGTAGGGTTTCTGTGTAGGGAGGAGTGCTTGGCGGATCGGGCGATGGCGATGAAGACTCCGGTGGCGGAGGTGGTGGTTCCTAACAATTCGTTGCTCAAGGAGCTCGATCCTGCCACCAGGTTAGTTATGGGCATGGCGGGTTAATTTGTCATGCTAGCAACACAATTCATATCAAAAGTTTGACACCAATTATTTCACAATATATATACATAAAATCATTGTTTGAGTATGTTTGGTAAATACTTGGTGATAAACTTGGTGAGTTTCTAACATTAAATAATACTCCGGTACTAAAACATACTCACTTCGTCCCAAATTATTTTTTACATTTGCTTTTTCAACAGTCGCGAGAACTTTTGTTTATTTCTACGTGTTCATTGGTTATTTGATAAAATGAAATATTTTTGACACCTCTTATTTTGAATAATTTTTCATGTAGTCTTTTGATATGTAATTTTTATTTTTTATTTCTTTACCAATATATAAATAAAATGAATTAAAAAAACTTGGTATTTTGGCTCGATAATGGAATTGTGACAACTAATTTGGGACGGAAGGATTATATATTTTCTAATATAGTACTTAAATTTTTTAATTCTAATAAATAGTACTCTAGTGATATTGGACATTTAGTTTGATCAATATCTAGTGGCAGTGAACATTTAATTGAACAATAACTATTGGGAATTGAATATTGGTACTACATTTGGAAATAAAAACATATATTATTACATTGAGAAAGTCTTATGTTTTAGTATTATTTAGTCACATTCTTCAAGGATATAGTTTAACCCGTCAAGAATGAAAATAAAATTTCTTTAAAAATGTTGTAAGAATTAAATTTACACGATAACTAAATAGGGAGTTCAATTTATTAGTTTACTAGTATTTTAACTCGTGCCATGCACGGGGTGAAATGAATTTTTTTCGACTCGATAATATTTCTTTACTATAATATTATTAAAGGATTAAACAAAATATACATCTAATACAATATATTCTCTCCGTCATACAAAAAAGTTTCACATTTCTTTTTTCATACGTCCTCGCAAAAAGGTTACATTTTTTACTTTTAGAAAAGTTTTTGGAGATTATATTTTTTTTCTTCTCTGCACTATTTTAAACCACATAATTTTGCTTTTAGAATAGTTTTTGGAGATTTTTTTCTCTGCGCTACTTTCAACCACACAATTTTACTTTTATTGAAAAAAATATGTTGATATAAATCTGTCAATGAACCAACTCAACCATAAGCTCAAGCCTGTGGTTATGGCCCATGAATAGTTATTTATATTCTAACACGCCCTTTCACGTGCAGGCGTAGTCTTTTTTCGAGCCTTGCACGTGAAACTTTAATTTTTTTTAAAACTGGGTGGCACTAAGTTTCAAACCCGTGACCTCTTAGTCAACGAGGCTCCGATACCATGTCAAGGAACCAACTCAACCAAAAGCTCAAGCTTGTGGTTGTGGCTTAAGAACAGTTATTTATATTCTAACAAAATCAAATGTGTGGGAAAGGATATAAAAAAGAAGTTTTGGAGGTGTGATAATAGTGGGATACAAAAGATTGAAGTTGTCAATGTGAAAAAATGTACTCCATATAATCGAAATGAAAAAGATGATAATTTGTATCGTATATGTGGATTGAAAAAGATGACAATTGTCCAGATTTAATCTGGTCATTATCCAGTAAGAATAGACTTTATACTCCGTAAATTCTATGCTTGGCTAATGCTTCTAAGAGCATCCACAATGGTAACACCTCTCATTAGATGCTCAACTGTGGGTTCTACTTTAAAAATATTATTCCGGCATCTCTTTGGACATCTAAATGTTTTAATGGTGACACCTCATTGAGATGCTTTAGGCAAATCCTACTCACATACAGAAATAATTTTTATTATTTTTTTTAATTTTTAATTTTTATATTATACTGTATATAGGAGTGTTAAATATGGAGTAATAAATTATAAATTAAACTGATTTTTTTCAAAAAAAATAATATAAATAATTAAAAATATTATTAATGACTTTTTTTGCTAAATATTTTGATTAAAAAAATTAATGACATGTTGGTATTACTAAAAACAAAATAGGGTGTCATATTTTTATAGAGTATTTATTTATTTATTCAATTTTTTGTGTAGATCAAACTCAATTAAATGAAACACAACTTCAAACAGATTTTTCATGGTATCACTGCAAGTTAAAAAATGAAAAGAAAAAAAACTTGCGAAAATGGTTTGTTTAAAAAAATTGTAAAGATTCTTTTCCAAAAAAAAGAGACACAATAATGGTATAGAATAGTAGCATCACTACACGTTAAAGAAATAAAAAGAAAAAAATATTGAAAAGAGAATGTATTATTAAAAAAAGACCTATTTTACAAAAAAAAGAAAAAGAAAGAATGCACACATGATTTTGAATGCTAGCACCCGGTGCTCTCTTGAGCATCTCTTACTTTTTTTTCCTTTTTGAACATCTACTCTAAACATCTATCTCCAATAGTAGCATCTATAAACATCCTCTTCTCTCTCCTTTGAGCATCTCCTCTGGGCATCCCATTGGAGATGGCCAATAGAACTCTCATTTTATACTATGAAAAACAATTTCAGGGTCTTAATAAATAAAAATACATTCTTTTGTAGTTTATTTCCAAATTTCTGCCAAAATTTGCGAACCTAAATTTCAATTGAGTATTTTTGGATTATATGTTGTCTTCAATTTTTGTATAAGTGAAATTGTGTGATTTTCACTTTTTAGTTTTTTGGCTGCATTTCCAAATTTAGAAATTTAATTAGTTTGGGGGAACATGTGGGTGAATCATGTCCATTATGGAGTATGAAAATTTAGAATGGTACAATTGAAGTGAAAATGAGTAGAGTACTGATATCACTTTGAATAACATGCAAATTCTACACTTTTAATAATTAGTTTATTTATAAATTGATATGAAAATAAAAAGTATAAATTACATCTAAAGTTTTTTAAAACATGTCACAAGAAAATTTTATTTTATCAAGTAATCAATAAAAATACACAAATAAATAAAAAGTTATTGAAAAGCCAAAACAATATATAGACAATATTTTTGGGATAGATGGGTACAAATGTACACTACTTCTTTGCTTCAATCAAACTGGATAAATTTTAAAGGAAAAATTACCCAAAATAATCCCAACTTTACCCGGTTTTTCAAAAATAATACCACCTTTCACTGTGATGCATAATAATCCCAACTTTACTGAAATTTGCCAATTTTGGGTCGCCGTTAAGTGTCTAACGGAGGGTAAACGGAAATGCCCGTTTTGGGCAACAAAATGAAAGTTGAGATTATTTTTGATGAATTTTTGTTTTTTAATTTTTTTTAAAATTTTTTATTTAAATTTTTTGAATTACTTTCTACGTCCATCATCATTTCTTTTTCTTTTTTAAAGATTAGTCTTAGTTTAAAAAATAAAAATAATAGATATAAAAAATGAAAAAAATGAGAAATGTAACTAAAATAATACAAAAATAATAAAATAAATAAGGTAATCAATGGAAACTAACTTGAAATTGGTAAAAGTAAAATAAAAATATACGGGTGAGTTTTAATATTGTACGTATTATACAAAGTATTAACATATCACTACTTATTTTTTTAGAAAAAAATATCTACAATAATTCCAATTTTACCGGACGGCTTGTTCTTTTAAAAAATAAGTAGTATATTAAGATTTCGTATAGTGTGTAAAATGTTAAAACCCACCACTCCGTATATATTTATTTTATTTCTTACCAGTTTCTATTTAATTTCTATTGATTACATTATTTATTTGATTAATTTTTTATTGTTTTAGTTATTTTTCTCATTTTCATTAATTTTTTTATCTATTTTTTTTCTAAGGTAAGAATAATCTTTAAAAAAAGAAAAAGAAATGGAGGTTAAAAGTAATTCAAAAAATTTAAATAAAAAATTTTAAA